CCTTTTGACATACAAGGTGACATACACAGGCGTCTTCGGGGACAGTCTCTGGCGTCTCTGTGGCAGGATTGTATTAATAGTAGCTGACATGACTGAATACTTACTCTGGGCCAGGAACAGTTAAGCAGGGCACTCTAAGGGGACAGCACCATCACACATCTTCATTCTTCATATGAGGCACTGAGAAGTTCTAGAACTCTGCAAGTGGCAAAGCTGGGCTCCACGGTGCCCTTCCTGCCATCTCTGGCACCATTGTTTTCCCCAAGATGCCTTCCCATACCTGGGGTCCAGGCTAAACAAGGCCTAAAGCTGAACTCGGAGGGTGAATTTTCACCAGGATCTCCTTGGTCAGGTCCTGGTCTAGGTTCCAAGTTTGTTGCCAGTCCTCCCCCATCTTCTCCCATTCTCACATCGTAGGACCCACACCTCATCAGGGGAACCTAAGCCACGATTCCAGAAGGCTGGAGGGGACTTCTAATAGATAGAGCTCTTGTTGCTTTCCTTGCAGTGCTGAATATTGAGACCAGGGCCTCGTGCAAACTAGGTAAGTACTACTGTGTTGTACCCCAAGCCCTTCTTTAAAAATTATTTTTATTTTTTGAAATAGGGTGTCTCTCTCTCTGTGGCCCAGGCTGGCCTCAAACTCTTGATCCTCCTGCCTCAAGCCTTAACCATGCTAAGTCACAGTGGATCTCTTTATGGCCTCTTTGCTCTAAAGTCTAGAAAAGGCCCTTTGTGCCAAATAGCCCTCAGATTCATCCTGGTCACCCCTTTATCCCCACACCAAAGCCATATAACCCCAAAGGAAGCAACTCTTCTGCAGCAAATCAAAGACAATCAGGCTGCATTTCCCCAGATCCTTGTCACAAGCCTTGCATGCTTAAACCAAAACAGAACACATTAGCCTTCCATGGGAGCTGGATGAAGGAGAGACAGCTTAACATTCATGGAGCACTTGGTAGGGCAGGTAGAGTTCCAAGAGTTCTAGATGTATTAACTAATTTAGTTATAATACCCTATGACGCACTGTTAGACTCCCATGTTACAAATAAGAAAATCAGAGCACTGAAAGGCACCTAGGTTCACAGAGCCAGTAAGTGAAGACGCTAGTGTTTGATGCATTCTCTATGAGCACAGAAACAAGGCAGCTGCTACCCAAGGAGCAAACAGCCCCAAGCTGACCCACAAAACTTCAGCCAGCAAAGTCTCTTTCTGTTCCTTCCCTGTCTCACCTGCTGTCTTCACACCCCAACTAGGCTGGGTTCCTGGTTCCTTCCTCTCCTTCTTCCTTCATACCACCTCCCACCTTCCTTTCCTTCCGTCCTGGACTGGGAATGGAACCCAGTACTTCATGCATGCTAGGCAAGTGCTCTACCACTGAGCTACATCCCCCATTCTTTTGTTTTTATCTTGAGACAGTGTCACTCAGGCTGGCCTTGAAATTGCTATATAACCTAGGTAGGCATTAAACTTGCAATCCCCTGCCTCATTTTCCAGAGTAGCTAGGATTACAGGCCTGCACCATCATATCCAGCTAGGCTTCTGGTTTCTAAGTCGACCAGAAGTTGAGAGTTCCCTTGCATTTGAATCATAAGCCGATCTTCACATTAACCCCATTTTAAAGAAGAAACTGAGACCCAGGAAACCTGCTTAATTTTCACAGTAACAGATCTGCAAGTTTCCTGCACTTCCCCCTTCCCAAAGGAACTCAACCTGAGCAGACCCAACCTGAAGGCTTCTTCCTGGAGACCCAAGGTCAGCCAGCCTCCCCCAACCCCATAACCACCTCAGCGTTCCTTACAGTCCTCTGAGAGCCCTCAGATTATCTGAGTAGGAGCAGAAACAACTTTGTGGTGTTCATTGGGTCATTTGATGAATCAGCTCAGGCCTGAGCCTGCTGGTGTGTGGTTCATGCCAGAAATGATCATTCGCAGAGCAGCTAGCTTCCTGCCGCCAGGACTATTCTGGAAGGTGCTTGACTCAGCAAGGGTGGATACTTCTCAGGAGGAAAGTTGTCCACCTTCCTCCACCTGTGTGAGTGGCTCTGCCCATGGGTGCGCTGGCGATGACAGGAAGCCCAGGGCAGGTCACAATGCAATGGTGGAAGCCTGAGGGCTGAGCAGGCAGGGAGATGAGCTGGTGCTAGAACCTGGAGAGGAAGTAGCCACTCAGCCTCTGGAGGATGAAGAGAGATTTCCTCTGAGGCTGGCTGGCTGTGCTCATTGGAAGAATGAGTTAGAAACCAGTAATTTTTTAAAGTAGATAATCTGCATGTATTCTTAACTCCCTATTCAGTGCTCCGTGAGTGTGTCCGCTGCTTCTACATCAGTCACAGTTTCTTTCAGTAACAGGAGGGATGTGAGAGACAGAGTTCAGAAGACTGACCCGAGGGGCAGACCCCTGGGACTAGCATATCTGGGGACCTGAGGTTTCCCCAGGTCTGCTGGAAGGAAGCTGAGAGAAGGAGGGGCAGGAAGGGGGAGGCCAACGAGTGGGGCAACCAACCTGAAGTCACCCTGGCAGAGGGATGAATCCCCCCAACACATACACTTTGTCCCTCCCACTGGCCAAACAGCAGAAACCAGAAGACAGGCAGCTGGGACTCAGTCCTCTAAGAAGGGGCTGGAAAGTGAACATGGACAAAGGAGGGTACCCAGCACACCCTGCGCAAGAATGCCACAAACACATTATAAAGTGCTTAATCTGCCAGTTTCTGGACATCTGCAGAGCGCCACCCTGAATTTGACACTGGAAAATGTGATAAACCAGTTGTCTTCAAGCTCAGCATAAAGACTGTCTTAGGTAAAATGCTGAGAGAGAGAGAGAGAGAGAGAGAGAGAGAGAGAGAGAGAGAGATCAAATGGCACCTGTGTAGGGAGTAGAGAATTTCTGGCCATGTCTTTGGAGCCCAGCCCCACATGGGAGAGGATTCCTGTGGGCACAAAAGATGGTCATTAGCACAGTATTTCAGATCAGCTTTCCAAGACCCAGGAAGATTCTGGAAAGTAACTTGGTGAACAGTGTGTTGTTTGGAAAGCTGTTGCCAGGTTTCATTTGCAACACAACAAAGTCTGCTGCCCCTGCCAAAGACTAAACATCTTGACCCAAGAACCCCAGCAAAGCCTGGCCAAAGATAACAGGGCAGGCAGTGGGGTGGGCTTCTTTGCCTTTTCAAATCTAGTGTTTTCTTAGGGAGAACAAGGCTAGAACTGCCTCACCTGTACTCCACCACCAGTACCCATAGGAAACTGGGTAAGAGCCACGCTGCTCTGTCTCTAAAGGTGAAGTACAAATCACAAGGGAGCTTAATTCAAGAGCATTTAGGAGCCGGGGATGTAGCTGAATGGTAGCACTTGTTTAACATGCATGATGCTCTCAGCTCAAACCTCAGCACTAAAGATTAATCAGACAGTAAGAAGCACAAGATATTGTTTAGGCAACTGTTAACAGAGACTGTGGGATGGCAACAGGGAGACAGGGACACCCAGTAATGCTACCCTGAGCCAGGGGCCACCAACCAATAGGTTATGACATCCACAGCACCACAGAGAGCCCTGTGGGTTTCACTTTGTAAATAAACCTTTCTTCCAGCTGGACTGGACTCTGGAGACTCAGAAGCCATGACCACCAGCTGACAGTGGCGTTTGAAACAGCCTCCTTTCCAGGAGGTGTAACATAATTATTACAGGAAGCAGCCTTAGAGTCAGAACTCCTTACAGTTCTGGCTGGGTCACTTGGAAATTGAGCATCCACAGGCAATTCTTAGCACTCTAGCTTTCTGATCTGTGAAATGGAGAGATTAAAACTGCTTGTTGCAGTGAGGACTCAGGTATAAGCACTAAAGACACAGTAAACATCCAAAGGAAAAGGAAAAATCAGGTGCAGTGGTGCAGGCCTGGGATCCCAGCACTTGGGAAGCTTAAGGCAGGAAGATCGTAAGTTCTAGGATAAGCTTGGATTACTTGTGAAACCTTGTCTCAAAAAGGAAAGAAGGAAAAGAAAGGAATGGGAGGGGCAAGGAGGGAAGGGAAGGGAAAAAGGAAGGAAAAGGGATATTTGGAGTGTATAAAAATAGCAGCTGACATCTGTTGATCGTTGGCATTTGCTGAGAGGGCTTCACCTGCTTTAACTGGTGAAATCATGTCAGTCTCTCAAGTATTCTCCCCTATTTACAGTCAAGGAAATGGTCACAGAGTGGCTAAAAGATTGGTCCAAGATCACCCTGCCAGTAAAAAGCAGAGCTGGAATTCAAATTTAGACACTCTGGCTGTCAAAGTCAAAGTCTAACCTACAGTCAGTGTGGCAACTGAAAAGAAAATGCAGGGGCTGGGGAGATAGCGCAGTCAGTCAGGTGCCTGCTGTGCTGCAAGCATGACAACCTGAGTTCGGATCCCCACCACCCAAGAAAAAAGCTTGGCATGGTCACATGCATCTGTGACCTAGTGCTGGCTGTGCCGGTATGTGTTGCTGAGACCAGAGAGAATCCTTAACGCTCTCCGGCCAGCCAGTCTAGCCAACTGGTGAGCTGTGTTCCAAAAAGCAGGTGGAGCGACTAGAGGAAGACCCCTAATGTCAATCTCTGGCCTTTGTACTCACAAACACACTCTCATGCAAGCACAACCATATGCACAGGTGTGAGCATGCACATACATAATCACACACTACACTCACAGAAACACAAAAGCAAAACCTTTTTAAAAGCAGATGTATGGGTCTGGAGAGGTGGCTCAGCAGTTAAGAGCACTGGCTGCTCTTTCAGAGGACCTGAGTTTGATTCCCAGTGCTCGCATGGCAGCTAACAACTACCCTACTCCAGTTCCAAGGAATCCAACACCCTCCTCTGACTTCTGGGGGCATGGCATGACATGGATGCACTTACATACATGCAGGCAATACATTCATACAGATAAAATAATAATAATAATAAGCAGGTGTACATTTTCAGGCATGAATAGTTAATCTGGAAAATGCCATTTGTGAAGATGTAAAAAGGAGGGCTTTTACATAGGGAGCCAAGGAGGAGGCTGGTGTGACCTCTGACAGCACCAGCAGGGAAACCAAACCCTTCTTCCCCTTATACCGTATTTCTGTGCCTTTCTGCAAGCTCCACTTCTGTCCAGACTTACCTAGATGCCACATCCCACAGCTCTGGGCTACCCAAATGGCTTGGTGGCAGCTGAGATGGCTGCTTTCTGTCCCTCCTCAGCCTGAATTTCTGTTTGCTCTCCATCCCTACCCTAGCCATCTATCTGTGCCACACAAGAGCTTTGCAGATTCCCCACCAACCAGTTCCAGACATTCATGTCATAAACGGGAATGGGGGAACAAGGCACTGGGCCCACAGCAAGGGCCAAGCAGGCAGTTGTATGCCAATGGTGCCAGCAGGTAGTGCAAAGAATGCTGGGAAGGGTTCCAAGGGAGTACAGTGGGGCCTCAGGCCCACACTTCTTGAAGCAATCAAGAAGTCTCCATAGTAGAGGTGACTTTTGAGTCTTGAATCCGGGGAGAATTCAGGAAATGAGAAGCAAAGGCGTCAAGATATGCCACTAGGAAAGAGCAGGATGCTTAGGGGACAGGTAAGGTAAGGGTGGCATGGGGCAGGATGCAAATATGAATGTCAGCGTCGCCATTCAATAGCTGGGTGACCCAGGGTAAGTTATTTGACCTCTCAGTGCCTCATTCCTCCCTGTGTAACAGGGAAATAATAGTATCTATCCCGTAGAGTCTGAGAATTAAACACGTTATTACATTTCACATTGTTGAGCACACGTGCACTCAAGAAATGCAAGCTGTGACTATTGCTGCAATTATTTGGGACAGAGGCATTAAGGTTTACTTGATGTCTCCACAAAACAATAAGAGGTCATCCATGAGGTTTCTGGTCACCCTTTCTGCAGTTGGCATCCAGACCTTAGGTGTGTGCACCAGGGCAGGGGCTCAGAAGGCAGAGTCAGAGGCCCTGCAGAAGGCAGACTGGGTTCAGGCAAGGTAGAGAAAGGCCCAGGCCACCGACACCCACCGCATTTACTGGGTGGCCACTAATGTGCCTGTGCTGTGGAGGTGAACGTAGAAAGGCTACTGTGTCCACCCTCCTCCAGGTTCCACTGGGGGGTCCGGTATGACTGTCACGCCGCACCCTTGGGAATGCCTGTGGCTGCATAGGGTCCCTCGTCCTTTTGCAGCCGGGCCCCCTCCACGCCTTCCGTGGAGGAAGGGAGTCTTCAGGTCGGGATGCTGGCGGCGGGGGGCGGGGGTGGATGCCGCACCTCCGGGACCGGCGCGCGCTCTGGCCACCTCGGTCCTTCGGCAGCGCCTCGCCTGTGGCCTGCGGTTAGTTGAACTTCAGGGCGTGGACCGGCAGGTCTGGCTGTGCCCGACCCGGGCTGGGAGCCGGATGAATCGCACATAGCATGGCCTGGGCTGCCCAGGAGGAAGGGTCCTGCCTGCGGGAGTCCCCCGGCCTCCGCTGGTGGCGCGTGCACGCCGGCAGTAACGGGGCGCGGGCACCGCGCAAGGAAACCGCGTCCGGCGTTCCAGACTGTGGCCTCGCAGGTACGTGTCCCCGCCAGCCTTGCTGTCGCCACGGGTCGAGGGAAGCGCATGGGGGGTCGAGACTGGGTCCTGGGTTCCGGCCGCCGGTCGGTTCTGCGCCCTCCCCCGAGCGCGGGCTCGGGTACGCGGCTGCTGCGTGTGCGCGCGGGGCTCGGGCAGGTGCAGGAGCGGCCACGCGCAAACGCGTGTTCTGGGCAGACGCAGGCACACCCCCAGCCAGCACCTTGTGCCTGCCGTGGTCCCGCAGGACTGATCGTGGCCAAGGCCACCCGGCGTCTGTCCGGGTCCCTCTCCCGGGTGGGGTGTCTCCGTCTGTGGTCGCCACTGGGTTTAGCAGCCGCCTACGCGGCTGGCTCCGTGGCCACCTGGTAATTACTTAGCCCGCAAAAAAAAGTGTAAGACCGCTAACCCTTCATTTCCCAAGTTGAGTTCCAATGACCCAAAGATTGCACTGGGGGCCTTTTCTGTCCCTAATCTGCAGTGGCCCTTCTTCCTGAGGGTGCTGGGCACACATCAGACACTGAGCCCCAAGTAGCCCCCACCTCCCCACCCTCCACCCAGGGAGGGGAAAGCTGGCCCACAGGCAGTCGGTAGGGGCCCCTTCACACCCTCCCCCCCCGGCAATCAAATGGCCCAGCGAGAAAGCGGTGGCCCAGGTCCTCCATCTGGACAGACGGGCAGGGATGGACAAATGCGCCTCCAGGGCCAAAGAGGCAGGCAATCTTGGGCTCAGCACTGGGCAGAGAGGACGTGCTCTGTCTTGAAGTCAGTATACAGGGGCTGGCTTTCAACCTATCTTGCTGTGAGAGAAGGGGAATGCGGCCTGACCAGGCAGAGCTGCCTAATCAGCCCCAGAGTCCGTGAAGTGACATGCGGCAGTCATTGCCTTCCCATCTTAGACTCATTTGAGATGACACAAATCTAAGATGGTAGATAAGGTTATGGTTTGCTTCCCTTCTCCTCCTTCCACCTCCATCTCCACCTCTCAACACAAAGATGAGGGAGAGAGGGAGAATCCCTGAGCTGGATGGAGGAGACCAGAGGGCATTATGTATAGACTGTTTTGAGTTGCCCACCCAGTTCCAGAACCAGATGGTTTCATTCAAACCCCACCTCTTCTGTTTGTCAGAGCTATTATTTGGGGCAAGCCATCCCCCTCCTCCTCTTTCTCCTCTTCTTCCTCCTCTCCCCCGCCCCTCCCCACAGGCTGCATGCATGCTAAGCACAAGCTGTACACTGTGGTACATCCCCAGTCCAGATGCCCTCATTTCAAGCCTTAGCATGTCCTACTGAGAACTGGGCCTGCCACTATAGCTACTTCCTAGTGCAGTGATGAGATCACGCAGGTGAAGCTCTGACCTTCAGAGCCTTGCCATGCCTCTAAGTGTCAGCTCTTGAGAATTCTTATTTTAGCGAGGGTGTTGTACCTTCTGGGTGCAGTGCACAGTGTAGGGAGAGAAGACTCAGTAGGAACCAAAATCAGAAAGATGTACCCACCACCGCAGCAGCCACAAGTATGCTAATTTGTATTAGCATCTAAATTCCTATTTCAGCTGGCTGGCTTCGATCGCTGTACTTTCCTTTTCTGAGTCTTTGTGTCATACAGGGAAATAGAGATAATAATCCCCACCTGACAGAGTTGCTACAGAAATTAAAAACAAATAATCTTGCAAATTAACCCAGTACATGGTAGACCCTCAAGTGATTTGGGAGAAAATAGTACTAACGTCCCTGTTAGCAATTGCTCCACAGGAAACTACTTTAATAAAGATAGGAGCTCAGCTGTGGACAGTTGATGGCTTCTTGGGGGGAGAGTCAGTTTTCTTAAGGGTGTGGCCCCTGGTAGGTTGACCATCAGTGGATGACCCCACATCCAGGAGTATATGGGCAGCACAAATTGGACTTGATGGGATATATATATATATATATATATATACACACATATATATATAGTGTGAGTATGTATATATGTGTGTGTATACATATATATAAAGAGGACACAAATCTAAGATGGTAGACAAGGTTATGGTTTTCTTGGGGGTAGGGAGGTGGGGGTGGATGAAGTGGGGGGAGTAAATATGATAAAGTACATTGTATGAAATTCTCAAAGAATTAATAAAAATATTTTTATCACTTTAAAGAAACAAAAGATATGAGCTCAGAAGAATGCTTGTTTATGTTGCTCAAGGCCTCTGGTTTGGGCAGGCCTAGCAGGATAGCTGATCCTTGCTTGGGCATCAGTTACATGGCCCACCTGGAGCTGGATCACACATTTGTATGACAGGAGGCTGGTCCCAGCTATCAGCTGGAGGCTCAGCTGGGTCTGTCAACCCTGGTCTTGGTTAGTGAGCTTCCTTTAGTCTGGTTCTCAAGTATCAACAGCAACTATCCTCAGAGGCAGTAAGTGTGAGCTATCTAGACTCAGAAACCAGAACAGTAGTGCTTTTGCTCAAGTCATCACAGAGATTCTACGAAGATTCAGAATGGACGCAGATGACAGTCAAGTAGATTGCAACCATCTCAGATCCATAACATGATTTATTCTCATCCCCCCAACCCAGGGACTAGTGAGGCTAGCCTCAAACTAGCTATGTAGTTGAGGATAACCTTAGACTTCTGAGCCTCCTGCCATCACCTTCCCAATGTTGGGACTACAGTCATGTAACACCATGCCTGGTTTTATGCAGTGCTAGGGATCGAACCCAGAACTTCATGTATGCCAGGCAAACTTTCTACCAATTAAGCCATATCTCCAGCCTCCCTCCCTCCCTTTTTTCCTTCCTTTTGGGTTCCATGAGTTAACTCATCTTGTGAAAAGATGAAAGCTTGCTTTCAGGTGAGGACCAGCAGTAAGACATATGTCTATGCCAAGGACGTGATCACAGAGTCAGCATCTCTAGTCCTGTCAGAGTCAGAGCTGAAGGAGCAGGCATCCTGCGTGGTGGTGTTTCCCAGCATCTGTTTCCTGGGAACCTCTGAGGCATCAGTCCCTCACCTCTGACAATCTCATGCCTTCAAAAACAAGAGGGAGAAGCTAGGGAAAGAGCAATTTGGGAAAAGAGACTTTAGCATGTGTCCCAAGGTCAGTGAGCATCTTTGTGACTTTCAGGTCCCTGGAGAAGTATGTTCGATTTCAAGAGGTCTACTGCCTGTGCTTGGATGACTGTTGTCACTGGGTTATTAATTGATGAGATGGAGTTCTCTGGGTGGGGGGAGGGTGCGGCAGACCTAGGTTGTCATAGCAACCTCAAGGCCTGGGGTTGCTCTGGCCTGAAACAGGAAGGATGCTCAGTTTCCACCTTCGCAGACCACAGATCTTCTCGACTTGCTGTGTCTGGCTGGGCTGCAGGCCTCTATTGTGATGCATATTCACCCAGGGCCAACCACCTACACATTTTGAGTCAAAACTTATCCTCTTCCTGTTCCTTCATTCGCATCTGTCTGTCTGTCTGTCTGTCTGTTCCAGTTTGTTAGCTTCTGACTTCACTTTCAGCCACACCAGTCTTCAGCCAGGCTGCGGAAGAAAGGAATTTAGAGACACGTACTCAAAAGCTTTACATAGTGGGTGTACATTTTCCTTGACAGAAAAAACGGACCCAGTTCCTCCTTCCTCACACTGTATAAAGGGTGAGGTGGGAAGCTGGAGATACAGCTCAGTGGTAGAGTCTGTTCTAGCACGCACAGATTATGGGTTCAGTCCTCAGCACCACAAACTAAATAAAGGGGATGTGGACATTCGGGAAGTCAGACATCATCATTCTCATTCCCATGAATGACACTGACAGTTACTAAAACATATTGGACTCAGACTTCAGCCTGAATCCAGCACTGCCACTTGCCAACTGTGTGACCCTAGGTGGCAAAGCTGGGTTTCCCCCACAGGGATGCAGCCTGTGAAAAACCCAGGGTCTTGCACATGGCAGTAGCTTAAGACATAAAAGTACTCATGTGCCCTTGCACCACACTTACGTGTCATTGGAACGCACTGCCTCATCTGTACGTGAGGCGCCCTGGGGCAGTTCTC